TGGGGGGGAGTATGGTCAGGACAGCTGACCAAACTGGCCAAAGAGATGTTCCTTTGCACAGAACACCCAGTATATAAAGTGGAGGAGCTACTTGGAAGGGCACCGAGAGCTGCTTGGTGATGGGTTGGGCATCTGCCAGCGGGAAGTGAGCGATTATATTGTGCATCACTGTTTTTTTTATGTGCGTGCTCTATTTATATTTTACTTTATTTCAAGTATTAAACTGCTCTTATCTCAACCCTATGGTTTTACCTTTTTCTGATTCTCCTCCTGACCCCACTGGGGTGGGAAGTAGGGAGTGAGTGAGCAGCTGTGTGATACTCAGCTGCCAGCTGGAGTTCAGTGATGACAATGAGCTTAATCCAAAGGGCACCCTTGGTTGTTTTACATTCATCATCTCCAGATCGAGAGAACTGGCCTGTCTGGAAGCATGGGCTGCAGCTCAAGTGCTGGTGGTCACACTGTGGGAATCAGTTAGTGCAGCTATTATGATAAACATGCACATCTTGGCTGCTTGCAGTGAGCACCATCCGTTGAATCAAGCTGAATCAGGAGATGTTAACTCAAAAGCAGACAGCTGTAAGTAAAACTGCAGTGAAGCTAAACAGTGAGTGCTTTCTGTGGCTGCACTTTAACCCATGCCTCTTATTGCAACTGGCTGTCCAACACAATTTAAAATTAACAAGCATCTGCATCTCTATAGCTGTTAAATCAGAAAAAGAGAACTAAGAAGGGGATTGGTTGGCCAGCCAATGTCTCCGTGGCCCAGTTTTTTTTTTCTGACTACTCCTCAAGTCCTAATGCCTCTGGCTCTGCAGATACTACATAGAAAGGAACACATTTAGATGCAGCGTATAATTATTTTTTCACTGGACCTCTGAGCAAGCAGGAGTTTGAGACCATATATGAAACATAGGATGTGTCTTAGGGCAGCTACTCCCATGCAGCAGTGCTGTAATTTGAATGTCACAACAGATTTACTTGGACATGGAAGCAGCTTTGCTTTTGAGTCAGATATCATCATATTTGAAGAGCTGTTCCTGGCCATTAAATAATGCCTCAGATGATTGTTGGTTTAATGCTGCTTGACGGCATCTATCAAAGCTTTTTCTCTGGTGAACTTGTCAGAAGTAACATGTTTTGGTATTTTTCTTATCTTTGATCATTTTGAATGAGACCACTTTGGTCAGAAAATCTTTAGAATGCTGGTCAGGTAAGGCTCACCTGATACATGCAGGAAGACAAAGAACAGCCAGTTAGTGTTTGGCTGGCTCATGAATGTTGCCTCAGGCAGAACATGTTAGTGGTCATCACATCCTCTCACACTGCAAGTGATGCCCTACTACTGCTGGCATTCAGAGGAAGCACTGGGAGACATCTAAGGTTTCCAAATGAAAACTCAGAGGAGTGTCTCTTCTAAGAGTGCAATAGCAAAAAACAGTGACCAAGAAGCCAGTGAGGAGCAGAACAGAAGACTAAATCTGAGACTGAGATTAAGAAGAAGAGCCAAAAACTGAATGAGCTGATTACACAGGGGACCTAAAGAGTGAGGGGAAAGTAGTAATTTTGCAATAAGCTGGAGAGAACAGACAGCTGCCCTCAGTCAAGACCAAAGGAAATTGGGGTATGGAATGGGGTGGTCCAACAAAGAGAAAGGAAGAGACAGATTGGAAAGAGAATAAGACATTAGGAAGGAAAAATGCTAACTATTAAAAAAGAGGGGAAAATAGTCAAAAATAAACCTCAAAAATATTAGGATAAAAGGCAATAAGATAACAGGAGCAAAAGACTACTGGTCCCCAACAATACTGATATATACTGAACTAGCAGAAAGTGTCATTCAGTCTGTTCTGACAACATAAGCAGCACTGTGCAGTCCTTCCTGATACCCACTATTGTACCAGTGACAAGACATGACAAGAGCTGCTTTGTCTTCCCTGCCTGGCGCTGCCCTGCTGGGGCAGAGCTGGCCTTTGAGGAATGACGTGTATGAGGTCAGTCTTAGCAAATCCGCTTTTTATCCTTCTTGGTCCCACTTTCATCAACAAGGCCTTATTTATACTGAGGTTTTGTTTTTAGGTGTGACAAGCACTACTGTAAATGGTCTTCTGGTATTTTTACCTCAGACTCATCTCAACATCTGACACAAAGAGTAATAACACTGCTTTGGAGAAGTCTCCCATAATGCTCTTACCATTGCAGTTACTGACTGACAGAGTTAAGACTGCTGTGAAGCTCATATCCCAAAGCATTCTTTTTGCCCTCCACAGCACATGGATTAAACCAGGCAGCTCTAAAATTAAAAACCTGTTAACTGACATGGCAAAAAAATCTCCCTGTTTTCAGGTGTCATGTCACCAAAATGGTTTTTCTTTTTCTGTTATAATAATAAATTTTGTTACAATAAAGAATTAAAGAATTTTGTGCTGTACTTGGTACAAGTACAACCCTTAGTCTGGAGCAAAGGTGAGGCAGGAAATTTTGGCTTTCTCTTAAAAAAAGGACATTAAGAACTGGGAAGGATGATTAAAAAGAATTCACTCAGAATATTCTCTGAACATCCATGTTTCATCTGGTTTATAAAGAAGGGACAGGAGTTCAGGAAAAGAGATGAGTTCAGTTGCTTTAAATCCAGTAGGCAGCTGATGCTGATCAGTCTGTGACTTGTTTATAAACATTTCTATGCATCCCTGTGAACCAGGGAGAAGAGAACTTCTTTATAGGCTCCTTCCTAGACAATCCTATAGGAGCTATGGGAGATGCAGTCTCCTTTTGCACGCATTTGTAATGAAGAATTCGTGCAGATCAGTGATGGCCTACAATCTGTTATAGAAATATGACTATTAGGTTAATAACAGCATGCAATCCAAAGAAGAAAAAAACTATCAGTATATTCAGAGCTCAGAATAAGTGAATTTTACCTATGTGTACTGCATAATATATTCTTCCCCTTACAGCTTCTTGGTGTCAGTTCATGGCACTGGTGAAAAATGAGGCTTTAGATAGTTCAACTTTCTGCATCAGTGTAACTGCATATGGGCACTAAGTCATTCATGGCAGACAATGTCTATAATCCCATTTAAATGAATTTTAAAAAGAAAGAATTTGATTCTTTCCTAGGGAAGAATTGCATTACAATATAGCTTCATACATGCAGTCAGCATCTTGCATAAGGAGGCCAGGATTTTTGAAACTGCAGAGCGAGCCTTTTCTGGGTCCCTGCAGTCTGAATAGAAACCCACACATCCTTACTATTTGCATATGTCCCCATTATGCTTTGGAATTCACAGAAGACTATTCCATACTGAGGAACAGATATTTCTTTTCTTTTCTTATGGAAATTACTGTTCCTCAGAGTGTCTAGAAGTTACTGAGCAGTACTAAGATATGTTTCTCTTCTCTATAACATTATACAATTTTCCCTGTCTGTTCTTTTAATCCTACATATCACATCCTCTTTGTGTTTCTAAGGAAATATGATTTGTTTGATAGCAATTTAATGCTATAAAGTGATCTATCTCCATAACAGGTAAAAAGCCTCTATTGCTAACTGAGCTTTTTAGACAGATTTTATAATAAGGTTTTGAATCATTTTTCTTGTTCAGCTTTAAACTTCTGAGAACATTACACTTAAAAGCCTAGTTTTCCACAGAAATAAAAGGTAAATATTGGTTAATCTTTTACAAAATGTAATTATCTGCTCTGCCATTAAAAAAAAAAAAAAAAAAAAAAAAAAGCTCCACCATAAAGCTTTAATGATATGTGTCCTTAATACAGTTTCAGTTAGTGTCAGTAGAGAAAATTGAAATGAAGTATGTAAGGGAATAAAATGTTTTTATCTCAAAGACAGAACAAAAGGAGGAATCAATCTGTTACTGACATACAGGAAAGCTGGTCCTTACAACCACAATTTCACTGCAAGGTGCTGTATTTGAGCTTCACATGAACAGCAGTACATGAGGTAGTTTGAAGGAAACTTTTAGTAATTAGATTTAGAAAGGGAAGTGGCGAAACTTCTCAAAAAGAAAAAAGTGCATGAAGAATAGTTCCTCACACTTAAAAACCCCCAAAAAGCAACATATCAGCTAATGAAACACCAGAACTACAGTTCCTGCCTATATCAAATGCTTGCATCCATTGAATCACTCCATGGTGAGTCATCCAGTGCAGACAGTACTATATGACATGATGCCATGGAGTGGGAAGGCTGAAGATCTCCCCAGTGATTCTCTGATAAAAGCCAAATATTTCTCAAATTATATGGCTTCTGATTTTCCAGGGATAACACGCTCAAACACAAAGGAAATGCTATTGGTTGGACAAACCTCGGCTGAAAAGAATTCCGAAAAATATGGATATAGCACCATCTACTGACATTATGGGTCTTTGCAGGTGGATGCTTTCTAAAAATCGGGAGACCTACGGGTTGCATTCCTCCTTGTATTTACAGCTCTGTAAACTCAAGATAATGCTGATCCTTGCCTCAAGGGTTTAGCAGCTGAAATGAGACCGAGAAAACATGGTATCTGAAGAGAAAAAATGAGGAGAAAAGGGAGGAAAAATGAGACCAAAACTGAGTAGCTGAGTGAGCCAAAGTGTGTCCTGGAGCTAAAAGGAGGATGTTGCTAGTGAAGGGAATAAGTCCTCAAGATGTCATTTGAGAGCCCCAAGACTTTCCTTCCTTTTGGTTTTGAACTGCGTTCCTATGGGCCATCCATACAGTTTATCAGAGCCAGTGGAACTCAAATAGTTTCCCCCTCCTCTGTTCTATGTAATTTTCCTGCTGGTGAGATAGCTTGGCAGCAGTAAGGGCCTGCTTGAAGACCAGAGTTGGTGTAGACAGCCAGGTGCGTGGAGGAGGGTAGGAATGCGGTCATACCAAAGGACTGTCAGATTGTCTCAGCTGCAACGTATAATTTCATGCTTCCTGGGTTATATTTAGTTCATTGAATTGATTTATTATTGTTACATAGACATAGAAAAGTGTGCAAACAGCCGAGATGGAAACTCTACAGGTAGGGTGAGCTCAGCTGTCAAAGGAAACTGCTCCTGGAGCTGCAGAGCAGGTTTATTAAGGTGAGTCTTGAGAGAAGAGCAGTGAAAAGAGGTAATGCTCTGCTCCCACCTCCTAGCCAGGGTGTCCCCACGGCACACACCATCTGTCTCGGCTGCTGAAGCAGAAACAGCAGGCAGCACGCACTGGGGAGAAAACTAGGGCAAGACACGGACCTGGGATAAGTTGATTAGGACAGGATGAAAGATTGGTATTTTTTTGTATCATCTTTTGGTATCAACTTTTAGAGCCATAGCACTGCTGCTGTTATGGAATACCAGAGAACCACAGAATCACAGAACAGGCTGGGTTGGAAGGGACATTAAAGATCACCTCGTTTGAATGCCTCTGTGGGCAGGAACACTTTTTACCAGACCAGGTCCCTTATGAGCCTCTGTGCCAACCAAAACATGACCAGTCCATGCTACCAGAGCCACAATGGAAAGCAATATAACCTTGTTTTTTTGTAGATGCAACTGAGATGGTCATCTTGCTAGATTCATACTAGGCAGCTGATCTACTTAGTTCTCCCCGTAAGAAAAAATCATGTCATTGTTCCTTGTGAAGAACCTCCTCAACTTTTTGCCCTGGATTCTTTGGTTCTAATAAAATGTATCAGCAGTAAATAATAAATATTAAGAAAGCAAACTCAATCTGTCACCAAATTTTTTTTCTCCATAAAAACAGATGTTTGCTGAGTGGAATGGTATATGATACTGAACCCAGAATGTGCACAGAACAGGATACTAATACAGGTGAACCCCCAGAAATCAGTTTCCTGTGTGACTTTGTCTTTATCCCTTCAGAATGACAAAGTTGGTGTTTAATCAGAGATCTTTCATACTTTCTCTGTACTTCATAAAATATTTTTATTTCTCTCGACCTCAGAAGTAAGTCAGTATTTTGGATGATGTTGCACATGTCTGTATCAAGACAGAAACAGGCTGCACACTTGAAAATTGTTTAAAGAACAGCTTTTAAAATTATTTACAAAATGCATACACAAATGCATCCCTGGGCAACACCGAGATCGGAGCATGATCATGGAACCCCACCCTGGGGCCGTTTCTTGGCCGTTCTGTCTCCGATTCACACAAAACCGCAGTCTCGGGCATAGACTCCCTCCACGCTTACACCCGCTTTAGTGCGTGGATGCTGACCTTTCCCACTGCATTAGACAAAGCGGCATCTAAAGACTCCACTCCTTAGTACGAAACAGGCAGTTGTCAATCTTGAATCACGTAACTGCCCAAAAATCAAAGCCATATTATAAGCCTCCGAATTTCTCGCGCTGTCATTGCCCAGTTTCACATCCAGGCTTGCACAAACGTGCGAAGCCCGTCTCCCGCACGGAGGCCGGGGAGCAGCGCAGGGCAGCGAGGAGGCCCCGGCCTGCGGCCGGAGCTGCGCACACCCCCGCAGGCCCGGCGCGCCGCTCTGCCGCCTTCCACCGACCAGAGCCGCTCCCCCGCGCACGGGGCACGCCCAGCGCCCTCAACACCCGCGACCCGGCACCCGCCAGCCCCAGCAGCGCACGGCAACACCGCGCGGCTGCGACACGAGCAACCACCGCCCCGGCTGCGGCCAGCCCCGCTCCCCTCCCTCGCCCGCAGCCGCCTCCAAAGCACCACCCGGCATGATGGTGGGTCCGGGGCGGCCGCGGAGCCGGGCCGGGGCGGGGCAGGGCAGGGCGGGCGGCGCGGCCGGGCACTCGCTAACCTGTGCGCTTTGTCTCCCCTCACCCTCCCTGCCGCCGGCCGTGCCCCTCCGTACCCCCTGCCTGCGCCGCCGCCTCGCCCCCAAGCAGGAAGGCTCGGACGACGGCCCAGATTTCCTCTCGGAGGAGGACCGAGGTGTAAGTGCCGCGGGGAGGCGTCGGGACCCGGCGCCTGGGGCTGGGCGTGGGGGAAACGGGGTCGGCCCCTCTTCGGGGGCCTCCGGGCGCTGGCCCGGGCCCGCCGCGTGGGTGTCGGGCGGAGGCGGGATGCTGGGCTGCGAGCGTCCGGGCTGTCTGTCTGTCCGTCCGTCCGCCCGCCGGGATCTGCTCCTGGCACAGCCCCCCGCTGATACCGGCGTCTGTGTGCGTGTGCTCTTCATTGTTCTGTCACCCAAGTTTTGGAAGGACGGTTCTTTCGTGCTGTCGTTGGCTTAGCTGGGGAGGGGGTTGCGGCCGGAGGTGGCTGTTCTCTGCCTGCGGCCCCGCTCTCCCGCTGCACACGCCCGGCGGGGCCGGTCCTGCCCAGGCTGCCCAGCCCTGGGAGCGCCGGGCTCCATCGCGATCTAGGGCCTGGCTGATGCAGTCCTGCCCTCCCTTCTCCCTTCAGGCCCAGGGGGCTCTCCCATAGATAACAATGAGACATTTACATTGCAGACGCATGCTACATAATAAACTCTTTATTGAAGAGAAGTTCTGCTGTTGGGACAGGATACCACAATTACGTTTTTTACTGAGAAAACCTTTTTCTCTGACTTTCTGTTTCTGGCCTTAGTTTCTCTTCTGACTGCTGTATCCGTCTTTATTGAACTTGACTGCCTCACTTAAGCACAAATCAGCTAACCTAGTATAATTTAGTAAGACTGATTATCCCTGTCAGTTAGTATCTTGAGAAAGACCAACTGTGAGCAAGGTAGGAGAGCAGCTTCAGGGTTGCTTAGGTTCCCTTGGCTGTTGGTGGTTATTGAAGTGACTGCATACAGTATATTCCTAAAAAAACAAAAACCTGAGAAACACTGTGTTGGTATGATGTTTTATCATGCACACCATAGTCAGATGTTAAGTTCAGTGCATTTTATGTTCCAGTTTATGGCCAGAAATTTAAAAAGGTATTCTAATATCGTAACAGGCCAATCCTGGCCAATGTAAAGCTTTTGTCTTTAAGTATACAGCTACTTTACTAAGAATATCGGATAAAAGAGAGAGGAGGTTGGCATTGTTGTCCTTTGAGTATGTTCAGAACAAGGATCGAAGATCTTACTAACTGGAATTTTATTTACATAGGTATTTTATATAGGTTCTCTCTGGTACTTAGGAGCAGCTTTGATGTGCACAGTTAAGTTGCCTTTATCTGAAGGTGCAGGTAGAACATAACAATGTGGATCTGATCTCCTGTGAAACTTGTTTGTTTGGCTGGTTATTAGTTTTCCCTCTAAGGCTACAGGTCGTTAAGAGTTCACAAGGTAATTTGAAAACATTAAGAAATCTCTTAGCAGTTTTGTTTGTACTGTTGTGAGACTTGCCATCTCACTTGGCCAAATGCAGTCATTTTTTTTTCTCTCCTGTGTCTTCATCCGGTACTGAGGAATTAAACTAGAACAGTGGCCTTCTCATTTGCCTCGTTTTTTTAGGGTTTTTTATTTTCAATCACCCATCACTGTGGGGGTTTAATTTTTTCTTTTCTGTCTAAATGCCTGGGGTTAAAACACAGGTTCTTATCTGCATGATTTTGTTTGTGATACAGGAAGTTAATCAAAAACAATATGGCAGTCTGTTCATGAATGGATTTGCTGTGCTTTAATCTTCAAAACTGTAATACTTTTTTTCTAAGTAGAAGTAGTAAAAAAACGAATCTTTTCATAAAGTGATTCCCTAGTTCTGATTTGTTGCCTTTCTCTGCAATTAAATAATGAGTAGGTCAAGCCTTTACTTGAAAGCATGGATGGCTACTTCTAGTTGGAGTAACTGAGCTTTTAGTTTTGACAATCAATACTCTTGCCTCTGTTGAATTCAGATATTGCTGTGATAGCTGTACTTCTGCTGCAGGAACATGTTTGTTGGCTACAGTTGGGGTGGTGGGATGAAAGAGGGCTGGAATTTATGCTGATGCCACACAGAAGAGTAATTCTCAGACAATGGTGTTACACCATATGGAGCCTTTTCTGGAGAACTGTAAAACAGAGCGCTGAGAATCATCTTTGAGGAAGTAGCAGTGGGTGGTCTGTAGAAGGAACTTATTATAAATGGTCTGCATAAAATGAACTTGTGGGAATTGCTTTTCTGAATTTCACTTAGAAAATAGGATGGGATTGAATTTGCTTGGTGTAACTTGGGTGCTGTTGGGATTTTTGTGCTCTCTCTAACATAAACAATACATGCTTTTTAAATTAAAGTGGTGTAGTATTGCTCCATTAGTACTGCCTTGTATATTTTATGTCTATATGATCTTTAGGTAACACTCATTCAGTGGAAATGAGCTGTCCTTTAGAACAGGTCAGCTGGAAGCTTAATGCTGTGAAAACACTTCGAAAGCTTTTGTTGTAAAGGTACTCTTTGTCCCCTTGTTTTGTGTATTTGCCTGTCTGTAAAGGACCAGCTGAAGATAGGGTCCTTTTTACTCTAACATTTTTGAAAGAGCTTAGAGCAGGGAAGTTACTGTTAATGGATGACATTACCTAGGAATGTAGCACTTGGTTGTTTCCCTTGTCTGTACCAAATTCCTTACATTATCATTTGAAGTATAATTGATCCTTAAGCAAGAACTCAGATGTTAAATCCTCTCCTTGCATTGTGTTCTCAGTTAGTACTGTAACATTGGCTTGGCCTGGGTTTTGGCTTCTGGTGTTTTCTAGACCCTTTGAATAGAACAGGGACTTTCTTGGTATACCATAGGGAACTGTAAAGTAATTAAATCAGGTTTTGTTTTGCAAGTTGTTCAGCATAGGTGTAGATAACATAGGTAAGCGTAAAATTATTATGCAGTGTTTATATATTAGACTTGGAGGGGGGCAGTATAAAAATACTACCCTATCTCTATTTTTTCCATACTTTTAAGGTACTTTCATTTCAGTTTTCATCTGTATCAGACTGTTTTTATTTTTTAATTTTCTACTTCCTTTGTCACTAGAAGACCATCCATTGGTGACAGTTTTATTTTGGAAGTAGTGATGCAGAGTTTGTTTAAGTTTGTGGTGCAGTGATGTTGTTTGTGAATTCAATTTCCAGTAATGCAATGTGATTCGTTGTGTCACATGAATACATTTAAAGTCCTTCAAGTTTCTGATTGTCTTTGACACCTTTCATAAATGCTTCATTACCATTGCAGATGAAAATATTCCCTGTTGGCAGTCAGGCTACATGGCATAACTTAACATATGATTAAACTCTTCAAAACTGTTACAAACTTAACTCAGTATAAATCAAACAAATAGTCCTTTACAGCTGCATGTCATGGGTGAAGTTGTCATATTTGGTTCTTAATTTTCTCAGCACAGATAGGATTTTTGTATCTCAAGTTGGGAGTAGTGCATATGATCAGGTTGCACTGAGCTGGGTATGCTCTAATGGCAAACTTGATCAGCTGTTATACTGAATTCTAGCGTTTTGTATAGTACCACTTTGGAAAGAAAAAAAAAAGGGAGGTGCAAAAGTATTTTGGTATAAATATTTGTGACCTGTGAAAGATTACAAAAATACCATTTAGATAATTTAGATTATTTGCTGAGTGTACTCAGTCTGTTAATGTATTCTGGGGGGACCGGAGAAAAGCAAACAGTACCCCAGACAGTGTAACCACAAAAACCTTTTTACACACTGAAAAATGTGGTGTCATGACATAAGAGAGACATTGGTATGTCATTATATTTTTCTTTCCTAAATTAGATGGTAAGCACTTTGGAAACTCAGTAGGAGCTAGGAGATTCTGCCTCTGAGAAGTGATCTGTGAGAAACCATTGCATGATAATACGCCTTTGTGTGAGGCAGTGACCCTCTAAACCTTGGGGAAAAAAACAAAAGGCAATGCCTGAATCACGTGCGTGAATATGTTACTGTGCAGTCATTTTAATGATTTCCAACTTCACTGTAAGGAAAAGCTACGTGTAAGAGCTTCTGAACAGTTACATTTTGCTAGCCTTAGCAGAATGTGCTAGACTGCATGGTTCTGGTTTACTTCAACACACTAATTCTAGGTCTATGAGTCTGATTGCTGCTACATAGGCAAGAGTTGTCCATGCATCAAGGTTAACAGCTAGACTAGAGTGGGATCTGACCACTGTGATTTAATATAAAGGTAACTTATGGAAAACAAGATGTAGCAGTTGATGCTTCTGTCCTAGAGCTTTTCCAGTGCCTCGCAGTGTTACCTTCAAAATCTGCTCATGTGTAACTTCTGTAGTGTTTGTTGAGAATACTTAAGCATTTTTGTACTTAAGTATTGACTTTAAAATGCAATCCTGAAAAAATTTATGGAGAAAGTCCAAATCTCTGTATGGCAAAGCATTTTTATACTGTAGAATGGGGTATTTGTAGAAAAAATGCAGCATCAGAGAAAACACCATGTCTGAGTAAAAAGTATGCCTTGTGAGCATGACGTTGAAATATTTTTTGACAATGTGATTGGAAAAGATTTCAGGGTAAGCGTTAGTGCTTGTAAAAACATTCCAAATGTCTGTTGGCCATGATGATGAAATTGTCGTGGGACAAATTCCTCTAGAACAGCAAGGGGAGGGGACTTGAATTTCCAGTTGGGCTCTAGATGAGGTTGCACCAAGTACTGAAGCCTTTGGTCCAGTTACTGCCAAATATTGTGATGCTCAGATAATATGTCAGTTTTGCTGTATTTGATCATTGTCTCTTTTTTGTTTTTGGTTTTTTTTTTTTTTTTTCAATGATACTGGAATTATTTTGTGAAAGAGTTCAGGTTTCATGTCTTGTAGAAAAAAAACCACATGTATTCCTTGCACTTTTACCATTTCTTGTGCTCATTTTGAAGACATCAAAGTCTTGGGTTTAAGTGTTTTGCTTTGGGGTTTTTCAGAAAAAAAAAAATTCCAAGAAGACTTAATCTCTGTGAAGTTCAGGATATTCTTTTAAGCTTTTTCATTATATGATGAGATATGTTGAATAGAATAGTGTAAGACAGTGTGGGTAAATCAGATCTATAACTGCTCTTGCTTCTTTGAAATATAGAACCACTTTTCCCCTTAAAAGTACCTTTCCAATTGTTAATATCCTTATAATTACCTTTACAAGTATATTTAGAACAGCTTGTCAGTTCAGAGGAATGGGGACGATAAAGAGAAAAACCTACCAAACTTGTTGCTATCTGTAAATGTACTTTGTCTTGAGCATCTCAATTACTAGCAAGTTAGCAATCTACAGAAATGAAAATAGTGCACTAACAAGGCATACTGTAAAAGAGATTATTATTTGTTCATAGGGAGTACTACTGGAATTTCTTTTTCCTGCTGGAAATAATCTTTTAATGTTGCAGGGTTTTATGATCTGTCTTCAGCATTGCAGGATCAGGGTTCATTTCAAAGGAAGAATAATGGAAATATACTTTACCTTTTTTTTTTAAGCTAAATATATTTTTCTTCAGCTTAGAGCAATAAATGTAGATCTCCAGACTGATGCTGCTCTGCAAGTGGATATCTCAGATGCACTCAGTGAGAGGGATAAAGTGAAATTCACAGTCCATACAAAGGTAAAACCTGGGTTTGTACACGGAACAGTTCTTAATTATATACAAAAGAGAGTTTGCTTAAACTGTTTGTTGAAACAAAGTGTAAAACAATCCAGAGGAAATGAGAAAGTAGAATTAACTCATATTTATGAGACTGTGTAGCTGCGGTGCATAAGAAAAAGATGACTTAAGAGTTTAAAAGCAGTTTGGAAGAAAGTTATTTTCATTTTTTTTTGTATTGATGTGTTGTTATGCCATTCCCATGCCTATTAATTAGCCTGTTTGCAGGTAGAATCTTTAATATACATGAATATACTTCAGTATAGTTTTTTCATTTGATTAGATCTTCCTATAGTTTCAGATTCTAAAAGCATATCTTGTAATTGTATTACATTCAGGGATCATTTTTAATTACTATTGTTTATGGCTTTTTTTAGATTTGAATGTTTATTGATTGCAGAGTGACAGAATAATTGAAGTTGAATAAAATATCTGGACATCATCAATCCTATCTCGTCCCTCACTCTCACCATTAAATTAGAGTGCACAGGAGCACATTGCTTAGGATTTGCCCATTTGGGTTTCTCTTACAGAATCAAAGAATCACTTAAATTGGAAAATACCTCTAAGATTGAGTCCAACCATTAATCCAGCACTGCTGAGTCCACCATTAAACCATGTTCCTAAGTGCCACATCTACATGTTTTTTAAATACCTTCAGGGATGGTTGCTCAACCATTTCCCTCGGCAGCCCCTTCTAAAACTTGACAGCCCTTTGAGTGAAGAAATTATTTTAATATCCAATCTAAACCTCCCCTTATGCAACTTGAGGCCATTTCCTCTTGTCCTCTCGCCTATTACTTGAGAGAGGAGACCACCCCCCCACCTGGCTGCAGCCTCATATCAGATACTTGTACAGAGTGATAAGGTCAACCCCTGATTTTTTGTCAGCCAAAACACCTCCAGCTCCCTCAGCCACTCCTCATCAGATTTGTGCTCCAGAGCTGCCACCAGCTCTGTTGCCCTTCTCTGGGCACGCTCCAGCACCTCAGTGTCTTTCCTGCCAGGAGGGGCTCAGAACTGGATGCAGGATTAGAGATGTGGCCTCACCCGTGTCCAGCACAGGGGGACAATCACTGCCCTGGTCCTGCTGGCCACATTATTTCTGATACAAGTCAGGATGCCATTGGCCTTCTTGGCCACTTGGGCACACGCTGGATCATGTCCAGCCACTGATGAGGTTCTTTTCCACTGGGCAGCTTTCCAGCTGCTCTGCCCCCAGCCTGTAGCACTGTCTGGGGTTGTGACCCAAGTGCAGACCTGGCTCCTCACCTTGTTGAACCTCCTACAGTTGGCCTCAGTCCATGGATCCAGCTGATCCAGATGCCTCTGCAGATCCTTCCTGCCCTCTGGCAGATCAACATCTCCACCCAACTTGGTGTCATCTACAAACTAAGGGGCACTTGGTCCCCTCATCCAGATCATCAATAAAGATACTAAACAGAACTCCAGGATTAAATTAATAAAGATATTAGCCATGTTGATGAGAGCAGGCACTCTACAACCTTTTATGGCAACCCATGCCAACTGATTGCTGCACTAATTAAGATGAGGGTAATTACTGTGGTATGAACTTTTGGGGACACTTTTGTTGTTCCCTCAAGGTTTTTTCATATAGTAATGAAAAGCCTTGTTTTTTGTTGAGCTTTTCTTTCTGTGTATCTCCTTCCCCCCCATAATTCTACCTCCTTTTACCCTTCTAGAGTTCCTTGCCAAATTTCAAGCAAAACGAATTTTCTGTAGTCCGGCAACACGAAGAGTTTATTTGGCTTCATGATTCTTTTGTTGAGAACGAGGACTATGCTGGCTATATTGTAAGTACTGGTATTCTTTTGGTTTATATGTGCCGTTTTCTGTGGGCTGGATTAAAACTACTTGAGGCTGCTTTTAAATGTAGTGGAAACAGCAGGTGTTCATTCCTTATAAAATCAGATAAGCTTCTCTAATACTTCATTTTATGCAATTACACAAAATTAATGGTTGAAGCAAGCTTGGAAGAAAGCTACAGTAGCTGTCATACTTTCTTGCCCTTTACTCCTAAGAAGTGAGTAGTTTAATTTGTCTCCAAGAGTATTTTTATGCCACTGTGTTAAAAGTGTGGGAGAGGTTGAACTGTGTAACTTGGTGGTATTGTTTCTGCAAGCTAATGTTTAACTGAGTTACAAGTTTCATGTTTCTTTTGTTTTAGCTGAAATGGTAGACTTTTTGAGTTCTCATTATAAAGATCAGATCATTTTTCTATAAATAAGAGGAAGGAAAAACCACTTCAAATACCATGTAGAACTACAGGGAACCTTAATATATAGTAACTTACAGTTTGAAGTTAATTTCAGGCATTCCAGGAACAGAGGTCTCAAAACAGGCACCGTATGATACTGCATATTGAAAATGGTGCTGCTTTTCATATGTTAATTGGAATATCTGTTATGTTGGTATGAAACTTTGGTATTGGTTTTGTGTTTGGGGGATGTATGCTGATTCAGAGGGTAAACAGATATTTCTAATTGATTAGTGGGTAGATTATAATGAGTATAATCTGTGATGGTGATACCATTGTTGAGCTAGTCTTTTCTTAGTCAAAAAAGCTATTTGAAGTGATTAGACCTTCCGTGTGGTAATAACTAGTTTCAGATGGCTGAACATCTAGATGCTGGATTTTTCTTTTTTTTTTCCGTAATATGTTAATGTAATGGGCCAATATTAGTAAATTAAAATTTAAACATATTTGGTTCTGTGTTCCTTTCCTGGCACCAATTCAGGTTTAGTTTGACTCTGGTGTTTTCTCTTTCAGTGTTAATATACTGTATTACAAAATTAACCTAGAGCCTTGTTGACTGGGGGCTTTGTGACTTCAACACATATGTCTTTAATGTCAACAGTGCTGCAGGAAAGAGCTAGTGCCTGCAAACAACAGGGAATGGTTTTCTTGGTTGAGAGTTTTGGGGAGTTAGAAATGGATGGTGTGAAAACAATTGTGGAATTCTTTTTTCTTTCTTTTTTTCTTCTTTCTTTAAACAAGAAATGATCCTTACCGAATAAGCTGAACCAAAACTAATTAAAAATAATTTTTTCAAGTTTTAAGTCATTGTCATGGGAAATGAAGTATTATTTGGCTTCTGTTGTAATTAAACTGAAGCCATTAGTTAATGCTTTAGTAATCTTCAAGGATACGTGACTGAAATTGGTGTAGTAATGCAGCACAAATAACTCATGAATAAGAGAAATCCAGAAATTTTTGTAAGAGAGACTGCTTTTAAATGCAGTGGAATTTATCCAGAAATGCTGTAATGAATGATGAAAGAGAGAAACATGTATTAAAAAGCTGCAGGCAGTCTACAGTTCCTGTACTGTGAATGGGTGTTGTTTGACTGAGAAAATGAGAACTTAAAAAAAATTGGATTAAATTCCAGATTCCACCAGCACCACCCAGGCCTGACTTTGATGCCTCCAGGGAAAAACTGCAGAAACTTGGAGAAGGGGAAGGATCAATGACTAAAGAAGAATTCACCAAGATGAAACAAGAACTGGAAGCGTATGTAGACTTGATTACTACTTTATTAATTTATTTATATTCCAAAACTTTTAATGCTGTTTGCTATCCTATGTTTCCGATCTCACTGTAATGGTTCTCTGTGAAACACAGACTTGAGAATCCAGTTATTATATAACCAAGGTTAATCTTAGTGATCATGATCAGTGCCATTAGGAAAATTGTGGAAATAATTTCATGGAAGATCTTCTGAAACAGGAAATAAATTAGCTTGTTCTTGAGCATTCTTTCATAAGAAAGAAAGTACTTAGATCCTGTTCTTCACAGAACATCTGCAAAGGGAGGAGATAGCCTCTATCTTTTTTAGTTCTGGTATTCCACATTTGATAAGTATAATTAGACTTTAGGGTAATACACTCAGTGATTGGGAGTAGGGAGTTGTGCATGTGGTTGGTACTGTAAACTTAGATGCCAACCTTCTGTTCCCCAAGAAATACAAAGATTACTAGAAAAATCCTTTTTTGACACTTTTTTTTTAATTTTTCCACAAGGAGAATATACTTCCTGAAAATACTATTTTCCCATACTATGAATTTAATTTATATTGAAATAACTGCTCTGAAGCTTCTTGTTCCATATTGAGTTACACAGTGAAGTTTCTCCTTGCTTCGTCCATTTTCTTTATCATGCATTCACTTCTTTGATCTTTTTCCTGTCATTGGTTTCAGTTTTCAAGTGTATATTTACACTGCTTCTAGACTGCTTCTATCAAGAGCTCTGAATTGGCAAGAAAAGTACATAGAACTCTTACAACTGCTGCTTTCTCTCCGAACTTCAGCTGCTGTGAGCAAATGTCTTAAAAAGCTCTGTGTTAGTGATATGTACAACGTAATTTATAGCAGAGTAGATATACACTTCATATGCAGAAAACTGGAAATTAGCAGAACACTATAGATTTTTAAAGAATCTGGTTTTCCAGCGGCCCTGATCATGATTCTCTTGTGGTCTGGTTAGGGGTTGGATAACACAGAAAACTTTGGGTTTCTTCTACTGCCACCTCCATCCTCTGCATCCTCCTTTTTTGTCTTCACTGAATGACTACTACTCTCACTGAGATCAAACATCTCCCAACACTGGCCCTGCTGGTTTGCTGGTATGTAAATCTTAACCTCCTTGCACATAGTGGAAGGAAAAGCACTGATTATAATTTCACTGTTTGACCTCAGAATGGGAAAAAGAGCCCTTTCCTCATTTTTAGATGAGTTGCATCTTACTCATTGAATTTGCAAAGCTCAATGAATTATAGCAAACTTGTATTGATAAGAGTGCCTTCCTCTTAATTAAATTGCAAGTGAGTAATTGCTTTGAAGTTGAGTTGGCTGAACTGGGCAACCATGTGATTGTTATGGTTAAGTGTGGTTTTTTGTTGTACCTACCTAATTTCACTTTTTGAACCACTATGAAGTGAGACATCGATGTAAGCTTTGGCTCAAAAAGGCTAGGTGCTTTAACTTGAAATAAAAGACTGTTTAAACAGCTAACAAAACTACATAAACATGCAAATAAGTAAGGAGGGTGCAAATGGGCAAGGGGATGGAGATGGGGAGGAAGGAATTTGCACATCAATACACAGGGCTGAGGGACTGTAGTCTGTACCGTAGTTTCTTGAATTTTGGGGTGCTGGGGAAAGGACAATGAAATGAGGTTACGCTTTCAGCAAACCAGTGTCTGTTAGCTAACCATAAAAATTAGAGTGTATTTGTTGACTCTTCATTAAAAGTCTCTCTGTAATGTGTTTGGGCTTCAAATTTCTCCCTAGTATTAACACTGCAGTATTTATTTATGTCTATATCAAACATTGGAGTGATAACTCCAATATATCGGCTTATAATTTTGTACCCTTACTGAGGATCTCTTAAAGCTGCTCACTAGCTTTATCTCAAACTTAATTGCTTCATATGAAGTTCTTATGTCTGTCTTATTTCTTGTTTTTAGTGAATATTTGGCAATATTCAAGAAGACAGTTGCAATGCATGAAGTGTTTTTGTGTCGCGTGGCAGCACATCCTATTTTGAGAAAGGACTTAAATTTCCATGTGTTCTTGGAATATAATCAGGATGTGAGTATTGAAAACTGAATTGCTGGCAAGAGAAATCAAGATGTGCTTTTATGGTAGGATGGAAAACTGATTAAGAGGGAATTACCTCCTGGAGCAAATTACATCAATTCCTTCATGCCAGACATATTTGTATCGTAAAAGTTAAAAATTTGTTTAGTCTGTAGGAGTTCATTTTCTGCCACCTGGGGAACCAAATGCACTATATGCTTTAACCTCAGCATCAAAAATATTACTGGAAATCCAGTATATTTTGGTTTAAAAAGATGAGCTTTTGGTGGTGATTTCACTTGACAGTATGCTTTTCCATTCTTTGAATTATTTTTATTTGCTGCAGGGAAGAATGATGCAACAAAATGGAACACTAATTTTTTAGGATTTGGAACTTTGGTGTAAATTCTGTTGCTAACAAAACTAGAGGGAATTTCTGATGAAATATTCTGATAATGTTAGTGATGTGAGTGAAAACGTGGTTAATTTTTTTCTGAGTATTGGACTAGTGGGGCTGTCCACATGTAACATACTGAATTGAGGTAACAGAGAGTACTTTTGGATTCATAACTCTTTGGTGTTGGAGTCTGTTTGCTCCTATTCTGTCATGAGGTTCAGTTACTTTTTAAAATTTCAGGAATCAACATTGAGTGGAAGAAGTTATTACACAGACTGGCTCAACTGCATACATACTTAATTCAAAATATGTTCCTCTGTTGCTTGATGTAGAAAATGCTTGCAGGTTCAGGCACTCAGTTTATTTACACTGGGAGAAGTTAGATGGACAGGAAGAGTGTGAGGAGGCTTAAACCAGCATGATCCTCTGGATGTCAAAGATCTGCCATTCACCAGAGAGTGAAACATGGCTGTATTAACTCAACTATTGTTACATCAACTCAGCTATACTGTGCATGATAAATACTGTGTTATTGGTAACTGTACATTTGGTACTATCTGCAGGTTCTAGAATGGTGCTGATCTTTTTTTTTTCCCTTTTTTTTTTTTTCCCTAGAATGGTATTTTAGGAGATAAACAATCTAGTAAATGAGGTAGTCTTCATTCTGTATGCAAGGTACCCTGTCCCCATTAGTGCATAGTATAAGAATAAACAGAGAACAGGAAAACTGTTTTAAGTATAGCAAGTAGGGGCATGTAGTTCTATTTAATTTTTTTTAAAGCTTGTATTGCCTCCAGAAAATGAATTAACATGATAAATTAATTTGTTTTTCAGTTGAGTGTTCGTGGGAAAAATAAGAAAGAGAAACTTGAAGACTTCTTCAAAAATATGGTTAAATCAGCAGATGGTGTCATTGTTTCAGGAGTAAAGGTGATTACTGCTTCACATAGCAAGATTTAAAATGTATTAACATTTTTCACCTTTTTTAATGAAGCAGAATTTTACATAGGTACAAAAATGGGATTTTTATAGTGATATCTAACTTAAGAATTAGTGGCAGACCATGGGTGAGAGCTTGTGGCCTGGATGCAAAATAACTGAGAGCTTTCTTGTGGCCTTTCAGTACTCTATGAAATTAAGTCTCTTTTTATATACATAGATAATTGATAGTCTGGTTGGTGTTTTTTTTTTTGTTCAGGCCTGCCATTTTATATATTGGAAAGGAGAACTAGGTCTGACAACTGCTTCTGTTCAGAAGTTCCTCATGGAATGAATTTTCCCAGTCTTGTAGAATCTGTCTGCTGTTTCAAGGAGCAGCGGTAGAGGTTATATAATTTTTCCCAGTAGATGTAAGAATGTAACTGAGGGGGGAAAAAAAGTAATGAAAATTCAATTTAATTTTTACTTTTCCAAAAGCTACAAGATCACTTTTACAGCAAGCAGAAATTCTGCAGAGGATGATTTTTAATCTCCTTTCTTTCTAGTGGTAACCTTCCATTTGGTAGCAATTTTTACAAGAGTTAAAAGTTTCTAGGTGTAAAATCTGTTTTTTTGAAACTGCTGGAAAGTGGATATAACCATGGATTAATTATGACTTGGAGAAAAATATGAAGTCCAAATAACTTCCAGTTTGATAATACTGTTCAAAGCCCATGTTGTAGGCTATTCCATGGTATTGAGCGTCTTTGTTATTTTAGAGGGTTTTTAAAAATAAGTATAAACCAGTTATCTCAAGTTATATTACAGACAATATTAACATTTGCCTTTGTTTACCAAATTGAAAGAAGTCTGTCACTAAGATCAGTGTTCGGAGCTAGGAGTTTAAATCATCTTGTCTGAGACCACAGCCTCTGTGCTGCTGGGTGACTTTCATCCCTCCTTCCCTTTTTCTAAATAGATTACATGTATTCTATTTTTCTGTCACCCTTGGTGATCCTTTGGTATTCCTTCATGTTTAGTTATATAGACCTTTAAGGGTACTTGTTGCAAATTCTTAATAAAACTCAAGGTCATGATATAGGTGCAGAAGAAATCAGTTCATATAAATGGTGTTTTGGAGAATAAAAACAGATGCATTTCCTGTCACAGCAACAGTGAAATGTGCAACTTTACTGTGCAATTGCTCTGTAGAGAGTGGGTGAAATCCTGTTTTATTAATTGTTCCCTTTTTTGGTAGGATGTGGATGACTTCTTTGAACATGAGAGAACATTCCTTGTAGAATATCACAACCGAGTCAAAGATGCTTCTGCCAAATCTGATAAAATGACAAGATCACATAAAAGTGAGTTTTTTTCAGGGTGCAAATAGTACTGGTTAAAGTGTACAGAAGCTGTTAGTGAGGAGAAGTAATTTTTAGTTTACTTTTTGCATGTGCAAAGTGAATTCATTTCTCCAAGTGTAGCCTTTGGAGTCTAAAGTTCAATCTGACTTTCTAAGTTTAGATTTTGCTGCAGTAAACTAGATGGAGTAAGAACAGCCTGGTGCAACACTGAGGATATGTTTATTCTTCATGCTGTCTGCTTGAAAAGAAATACACTTTAAATATTAATATTTTTTTGAAGTCTGACTTAGTCATTTAGGTGTAGAGGTGGGTAATATGGCAGTACAGGCGATTTTTCTCCTAGTGCAGAGGGCAATATCTTGGCAAATGGGCATGGCATTACCAAAGGTAACAAAGTTACCTTTGCTCATAGCAAACTCCTGTTTGGGCCATTGGTTCTAGACTAGGTTTCCATTTTTTAGCCATTTGGAATGGAGACGCAATGCATACATTGAGTAGCCTGGTTTGCAGGATCCCTTTTCTTACTGAGACAAGATTTACCACTTGCCTATTGATTTATCTTTGTGAGCTGAGTGCTAGTCATTGTGATTTCTGAAAGCTCTAGATGGTCTTCTCAAGTGTAGTTCATTTATTTGAGAAAATGAAAAATCTTTGGGTTAGGACTATAGTGTTCGATTTAGGATTACTGTGTTTTGAGAAGCTCAGAAGAAATTGACCTGTGTTGCCCTTGATTTTAAGTTCTTCTGCCTAGATAAATCAAAATTGATCTTCCAGATTCTGACTGTTCCTTGAAGTTGGGGTCTGATTTACAGATACTCTCTACAGTAGTATAGTTCATACAAAACCAGGTTACAAACCTTAATGAATCTCCATTGATAAGATGTCTAAAATGGATATTGGATAAGATGTTAAACCAAGAATTTACTGAGTTCTTCAGATGCTTCTCTTGCTGTTGCATGAACACTGAGTCTTTTGTAGTTTTAGTATCTATGCTAGAAGATGGAAAGAGTCAGTTATGGCTCAGTGAGCTAAGGGCCCTGCTTATGCATTCAGTTCCCCCCTGAAGTGGTTTCTGGTGGTTTTGGTTGCTTTCTTAAAACGAGAACTGAACTTCATTCATGGTAGTGAAGTGCCAAGATTTATTTACGGAGTGGGAAAGGCTTTAACATTGGTTGTAGAAGTGGGAAAATCCTTTGAAATTAGGTTGTAGAGGATCTGATAGGAAAGGATTGATCAAACTCACGACAAAGCTTCATTGGTTTCCAGGCTCAAATCACATACAGTGTTTACTGACGACTTCTGCCAAACTGTGATAAATGACACCTTTTGAAATTCTGGCTAGAGGAGTAGAGCAGTGACTTGGGAAACCTGTTTTGGACATTGGCAATCTCTAGTTTGTGGATAACATTATCAACAGAGAGCTGCAGGTCTTGCAGAGACACCAACTTGCTATTTCCAGCAGAAAATCAATTTTTATGTTGAAATTTGAGGAATAGAATGGGAGATTAATTGCTTCCTAAAACCATTCTTCGCTGTAACCAGCTGCATTGATATGTATGGACTAATGAATTATTAGGAACTATTATAATGAACTAAGGAAGCTGACCTACTCAATCTGTTTTGTTATTAGGAAAAAATAATTCTGCTTAAAGGCATATAAACTTCAGAAATAACAAACAAATGTATTTTCCTGTTCATTGCTTGGATCTGTTAGTTTTCATCATCCATTGAGTTAATACTTAAAGCTTTTTAAAAAGGCTCTGTGTGCAAAGATTTATTTTTTATGTTTTTTATATTATATAGCAATACCTCACTAGTGAAATTATGCAGCCTTCTCACAAATACTGCTTCTAATTTATTGTATAAAGTGATTTAGCATTAATGCTACTTTAACCAGTGACTGCTTGTTGAAGAGATAAGGGTTTTCTAAAAATAGGGATGTGCTAGAAAATGTGCTGTGTATATAGTGCTGTATGGTTTGTAGTTTGTAGTCAATTAACTGCTCTCAAGCACACAGACTTTCTTACTGTTAAACTGTGATTTTTTTTTTCCCAAATAGTTTTAAAATAAAATTTGAATTCAGACTTTAACCATTAAGTCTTCCACCAAAATAAATTAAAAAAAAATGCACAATTAATTCACCTAGTAGGTTGTAATTGCATAAAATACTCCTAGGCAAATTACAGGCTTTGCAATTGGGTGAAAGCACTGTTTTTACTGTGTGAAGTTATCCTTCCTATTAAGTGATGGGATCGCAATTTTATTTCTACTTTTGTGTTAAAGCATGTCCTTTTAGAAAAATACCTATTTTTGAAGAAAGGAATTTCAAAATTTTCAGAAAGAAGAGGAATGAGGTAGTAAAACAAATGCTTGTTTGTTTTTCTAGATGTGGCGGATGACTATAATAGAATTGGTTCTTCATTATATGCATTAGGAACGCAGGACTCCACAGATATATGCAAGTAAGATATTGTTAATAACCTATGGGGTCATTTGCTGTGTAGAAGTCTTAATGGTGGCCTGCTGAGATTCGTAGCTCTTGTTAGGAGAAAACCAGAATTTTTTACAGCTGTATCATATTAAAACATTTTCTTCTCTAGTATTTCATTTCTTTAGCAGGCTGCATTTAACAGTTTTGTTTTAGTATTCATCTGTGAAAAAAAATGCTAATTTCTACATTGTGTAGAAAATTGCGCAGTTGAGATGGAAAAGTCCTTATCAAATGAGGAAAAAACCCACAATTCTTTCACCATTTAAAAAAAAAAATGTTTCAAATGCTTTGATACATGCAGCAAGCACAGGTCTCAGTCTGAGTATATGGATTTTTCTGAGTGTACCAATATCCTGAAAAATAGTTCTGCTGTTCTGGGAAGTTTACTGTCCTTAGGAAAACAAAGGAATCTACAGAGATCCCCAGAACTTTAAAGGGTGTCTGTATGTACAGATGTTTGTCCTTCAATCTTTCAGTGATTTGCTTGAAGTGTGGTGTATCTGACAATAAAACTTAGTTAACTAGCTTAAAGATGTCAGTGCTTGTCAACATACACAGTTAGTGTGATGTTGGTGTCAGTGTGATGACAGGTAGGACATGAAAGTTGACTTTCTAATATACCTGAATTACAGTGATACACTTCCAGATGCGGTGATAGCTTATATACCAGATACTTTGATGATAGTATTGATATTTGTTGTAGTCTATTAGGGTGTGTCAGAAATCACATCTGTCTTCTGTCAAAATAGTATCATTTGACTGTAATTCAGTCTGCTGTAGGATTGAAGCCGGGTATTGTCTCCTGCAGTGGAGATGTTGCCACACTGTTGCTCAGCATCCCTGAATTCCAAGTAGGACATATGTTCACTGTGTGAAGAAAAGTACATTCAAATTTGTGTAAAGGACACTTGATAATAGTGTAAGACCATTGACCATGGTGCTGGTGTTAGGGGTTTAATTCACAGAAGCATAAAGACTCCTTGAGAAGCTGAGCAATTTTTCATTACTTAAAAATATCCATCTGTTATGCTTTGTTTGTCCCTTGCCTTACTTACATTGCCCAGTTCCCACATGTTTGAAGTTTGAAACTAGTATGTTCCCCGAGTCCTGTGAATTATAACTGTAAGCAATGCCTTTGCAATCTTTATTGCCAGACACAGACTGTAGTGTGAGTAGAAAGTAATTAGACTGTTCAAAACAATTTTGTAATATGAGCTGTTTCCTTTGCACAGGTTTTTTCTGAAGGTGTCAGAGTTATTTGACAAAACAAGGGTATGTACTGCAAAAGGGACATCATGTGTCAACAAGGCATTAATGTGTGGATTAATATGGATGCTTCTAGATGGAGCATTTAAGCAATGTGTAGTATGGAAGGAGAAAGTGTAAGGTTTCAGTTGTGTTTTGTAAAATGAGCCTGAGGACTCCTCAGTCTACCAAACATTTCTAGGCAGTCTGACCCTTCTGTTCCTCTAAAATGCATTGAGGTCCTGCATACCTGTTACTGGGAATCACAGAACTTGTTATGTTTATGTATGGATAAAAGAAATGAAGAAATTGAATCCTTAATCCAAAAAAATGGTGGTAATGCTGCTTTTTTTCTGGAGCCAAGATCTGTTTCTGCAATTATTTGACTCAAAAGTAATGTTGCTTATGCTTGTAACCAGCATAAGCTCTTTTGCCCTACTTATTTGGCTTGGTGGAGAGAAGATGTATGCCATGTATCAGGAAAACTTCCAAATGAAAAATGTGTGCGTCTCCTAAACTGACAATTGTATCTGCATAAACACATACTTTAAATAAAATTGACAGAATTACTTGCCTTGACTCAAAATGTTACATTTCAGAAATTATCTTTTTTAAATTGGGGTTTAAAAATGCACTTGCAGACTCTGTTTCTAATCTGTTTCAAATGCAAGCAAATTAGTTTATTGGTTTTTATACCATTTAGCACATGCAGTTACACAATTAGTCTGCAAAGGTGCCTTAAAAATTTGGTTTTCCTTTGATTTCAACAGCAACATAAAACTGCTTGTGCAACTCTTAATATATGTTTGTTTCTCTACATTTTTTCTAGCATATGATAAATATAATTGCTATTGGGGAAAAAAAGCAGTTTTTAATATAGAAAGCCAGTTGTCAATTATTGCAGATTAGCTTATTCCTTACACTTTAATACAAAATCCTAATGCTTCTCATTTTGCATCTTGAAGTATCCTGTCATTAATGCCTGATCTTAGTTTTTGAAAAAGGCCATCTGTTGTGTACTGCATATTTTACATTTAATTTGTATCATACAAATGAATACTCAAAGTCTGGATGTTTTTAAGCTGATCCTTTTGCTTACTGTTTTTTTTTTTTTTTGTTTTATGATGGTGTTTTGTTTTGTTTTTCCAGAAAATAGAGGCTCGAGTATCTGCTGATGAAGATCTTAAGCTTTCTGATCTTCTGAAATATTACCTTAGGGAATCTCAAGCTGCTAAGGTGAATCTATGGTTTTTGTTCAGTGAAATTGTGGGTTAAAAAAAAAAAAAAAAAAAAAAAAAAAAAAGAGTGATATGGGCTCATCAGCTCACAATATATATAGATTAAAATGCTGCTTCCTCTAGCCTGCATTTTTTCCCTTAGCTGTAAAACCTGTTTCTGTTAAATATAAGGAGTAACAAAGTAGTTGCTGTTGTGGGACTGACTGTGTGGAACTGAGTAAGCCACTTGTTGAGGCCAAATCATTCAGTAACGAGAAACAATGGAAGGGCTGTTCTTGAGTTTCCAGTGTGTTTGGTGTTTGTAATTTCAAGCTATTTTGCTTTTTTTTAAATATTAAAATTGGATATTCCATATAATCGATGAGTGTTGATACAAAAACACATGGGCTGAATTTGATATTCTGTGCTTACAGAAAATTTCATTCTTACTATTGTTTGATGTGACATGGTTAAATAACATCAAAGAATGAGCAAGCATTTGACAGTAAATGTCTGTAGTTAGAAGATCACAAACTGTTGCACAAAAAACGTTACTGCTGCTTCTTGGGCTCTGTGTGTATTTCAGATACATAATCTGAATGTGGTTTGTTTCTAATCTAAGAAGCTGTGAAATTTCCCATGGTTTGCCTTCTTTGGCTTTTTGGAGTTTGATCCAAGCCATCTGTTGCTAGCCTCTGTCAGACAAGATGGAGACCAGACAGCATTATGTTGTGGATCTGATCTAGTATGGACATTCCTGTCACTTGGAGGATGAAGTAAAGTGAATGCAAATAATTTACTAAGAACTGAAATACAGCAAAAAGGACTAAAATTAATTTGATTTGTTAAATTACTTGGAATATTATAAAATCCTTGGGTAGAGTCTTATAAACTCCACACAACCTTTGTTTTTTTTAATAGGATCTCCTATATAGAAGATCTAGGTCACTAGTGGATTATGAAAATGCTAATAAGGCATTGGATAAAGCAAGAGCAAAAAATAAAGATGTGCTGCAAGCTGAAACTACTCAGCAAATATGCTGTCAGAAATTTGAGAAAATTTCTGAATCAGCAAAACAAGGTATTTGGGTGGTCCTTGATCTATGTTACTTCTTGAAAATTAACATTTTAGTATGTTATTAATGAGAATTAATGTAATTAATAAGAGTAGATTTTTGTACTGTTTCCTAAGCAGGAATATTATATTTTAATTATTGTTTATTTGTTTTAGAAAGTTCAAATTATATTTTTCTTTGGCTTCTCATAGCTCTGATAGCTATGAGCAAAGTCTAGGTGCAAATTACTTGTTTGCACAAAAAAGCTTTTTTTCCACAAACATAGGCTAGGATATGAAATGATAACTGTTAGCAGTAATAGCAAACAAATATTTTAGTGTTGTTAAAATTCCCCTTTTGGTTTTAGGCTTTCTTCTGTGAAGGCACCAGTCTGTCATAGATCCAATACTACATTAGAGAAGGGAGAAATAATGAAATGAGATTTCACTGAATTACAGAGTTAGTAGAGAAAAGGAACCTTATTTACATGTTACTTCTCTCCTGGAAGCTTACTGTCTTTTTTAGGTTAAACTTCAGTGAGTTAGTAGGTATCTGAGTCATCACTTGTGGCAGATCTGTTCAAGGTTTAAACACCATGCTCTCCTGTTTTTATCATTGAAGAGTTGTTTGAGCCTGTAAATCTGGTTAATGATTCCTGTAAATGACACAATGGAGAATGAGTGATCCTGTTAGCCACAGCAGTATATGCAGAAGGCATAGTGTTGTTCACCCTGGTTTTAGCTTAGTATATTCCTTGAAGACTTTCAAGTATCAGGCTTGAAAGAACAGTGCAGATGGAATAAGACAAATAAATGTTAAAAGCATCCACTTGGCAGTCTTTTTTCAAAAGAGCTTTGTGTCTGCAAAGGGTTACCTAGAGGTGAGGAACTGCAGTGGTGGTTTGCTTTCTTCCAACTGAGCTGCAGTATTTTTGAGCCCAGAATGTGCTGAGATTAAACATGAGGTTTTTCTTTTTTCCTTCTCTCACCCTTTACCTCTTCCATCCTGAATGAATGTCTGTTAATAGCTGAAATCACTAGCAGGGATACTGTTAATTGAGTCCATTTTTATTTTCTGTAGAACTGATAGACTTTAAGACAAGAAGAGTTGCAGCATTCAGAAAAAATCTGGTGGAACTAGCAGAACTGGAATTAAAGCATGCTAAGGTAACTGTGATCCTTTTTGGCCTATATTTCAAGTGATTGTGAATATTATATGATTGATTAACCAAAATAGCTACAGTTATTGTATGATATACACTTCACATTCAGGAAGGTGAATTTTAAGTTAAGTATTGTCCAGAAATACTAATTTTTTTTTAATAAAGAGAAAATGTAGTATAGGGTGAAGTGTCTCTGAGAGACACTTGAGGTGCCTTTGGACAACTCATATCCTGGAAGAAAATTTTGCCTTCAGTTTTATGTTTATTTGGCTGTTTGATATTTACAACTGCAGAATTTGAGAACGTACTTTTTTAAAACTTCATCTCTCCATTTCATTATGAGATATGAAGTGTTTTCTCCTGTTAGCCAGATTTTGGGACTTGATGTGTCAGATATTAAGCATGAGATCACACTGGCCTGTCTGGTATGATGAGTATGCTTTTTGACGTTAAAACCTTTTTGGCTTTAAACCATTAACAAAAGAGGCATGTTGCAGATAGCCTTTTCAGGAAAATAAATTTTTGTGGGAAAAGAACTTTAGGAGGCCTGTACTGTCCTTAAATTTCACAATGTATTTGATTTCATGGATGACTATGACAGTCTCTTATTTGAACAGTCTTATACCTGGAGGCAGCTTTCTTTTAAAAATCAGTTCTTTAGCATTTCTCTTCAAATCTGAAACTTCATTGGTTAGGAATTATCTCAGAATATATCTGTTGAAAGGACTGTTGAGAGGAGTATTGCTGCTTTACTTTCTTTTCAGTAGTGTTGATGGTGTCATTCTTTCTTCTGCTAAACCCATTGCTTGTAAAACCCATGTGCAGTAATAGGGCTGTTTGGGAAACTTTTTTTTAAAGATCTTTGTAGGTGTAAGTTCAGCTTAATTAGATATTTATGTGTTGCTGGTAAAGCAATCAGTAATGTATGGAACACATGACTCTTTTTTCAGATGAACAGTCTTTAAATAGTCCTAACAATCTCACTTGAACAGTTTTTATTGATTTGCCATATTGTGCTTTAGTAAGGGAATGCTTCTGTCTCGCTTCAATTGTTGACTCTTCATCATCTCTTGTAACTGACTCTGCTGAAGTCTCCACATGCCTTGAAGTGGAATGCTTAGACAATGTCTCTGTCTTCTATTAAAGAATCACTTCCTTTAACTATGCAAGTCACAATGTTGGAATAATATTCTCTTTAATTTTGACAGCTAATAACTGCAGAATGCAGGGAGAATATGCCTAAATTCTGCAGCTTTCAACTTGATATGTGTTTCCTGTGTCCTCAGTATCTGGAAGTGCTTGAAGATTTTTAGCTTTAGTTTGTTGCCACAGGTTGTGTTTAACACTAATTTCTTTCAATAGTCTGTCTGTGACTTATCTTGTCTTAGTAAATTTAATAATAAGGAGTCCATGAAGCTGTAAAAAGCTTTAAATTGTAGTTCTGCTTTTGAAGATGAATTTTTTTTGCTGACCCTTTTCACCTACTTCATCATGGAGCACAACATTCACCAGACAGTTTTGAATCTTTAAAGCTTTACAATAATAGAAGGTCGTTTTGACTAAGAGTGATAAATCTTGAAACATTAACAAATAATGTAGCCTCTTGAAAGAAAGATGTTTTGTTTCTCACTAGGTTCGAAAAAATCTCTTTTTCAATGCCACTGTTTCATATTTAAAAACAAGCTAAGCTGCTATAGATGGAGTTGGTTGCTGTGTTTTTCTTTCTGTGAATTCTGGGTTTGAGTATTACAAAATTTACAAGTACAGTAGGTTGTATTTTCAGCATTATATAATGGGGAATGTTCTTATGAATGCAGTAACCAAGGTATTTGAAGAGAGTCTTATGGATAGGTTTTTATTAATCTATACAGAGTATTGAAGGATGAAATGGTTTGGTGGACACTTTCTAGGTTAGTTCCGTAAAAGGAGAAATAAGATATTAAAAGACTTATTTGTTGGGGATTTTTTTTAATGTAGTATTGTGCCCTGATGCGGGAAGAGCAGTGCTAGAGGAATATGACTGAAATGAAAGTCATGAACAATGCTTCCATTTCAAGGAGTAAGTAGCCCTGGTTTTGACTGGGCTAAGCTGGGCTGTTTCTAGACACCTAATTCCTCCTGAAGACTGATGGAAGCATAAAAGAAAGCTATGTTTTTCACGCAGGCAGTCAATGATGTCAGATCAAAAGCCCCCTGCTTCTAGGTTCTTGGCAAAATACTTTGCCTGATGCCGGCAGTCTCTGTGCTTTTGCACTCACTGGAGGCAGGCATGTGAAGTTTTAAGTAGCAACAGAATGGCAATTGCTTGGTCAATCGAGTGTGGAGCACTGTACTGACAAACTTTGCAACATGACCTATTACCTAAGTGTATGTGTTTGCTTCCAGGAAAAATGCTAATAGGGAGGAGGTCTGGAGACAGTGGATACCCACTGCTAGAAGTCTTCAATTATGGGTTTTCTTTTTCAGTAGTGAGTGCCTCCAGACTAGATGCCATGTAGATGCATCTGTTTCTGAATCATCTAGCCATGTGTCTTCTTAGACTTAGCGCTGCCTCACACAAAAAACAGAGGTGAAATATGAGGTAGCAGTGGGTGCTGAACGCACCTGAGAGGCTCTTGTGGAGGAATTCAGACACAATGAAGGCTGCTGCTTGACTTCCAGTTTAAAGTTACTTGCTCTGTGCGGAAAGAAAAACACAAATCCCAAAACACAGAGGCTGCTGCACAGAAGAAGTCAGAGTGACCAAAGAATTGAGAGAAGGTTCTGAGACACAGCTTGCATTTTGCGAGCTATACCTGCCTGTATCTCTAGAAGACTGGAGGGCCATAGGGAAATAAACTCAGTAAATCAGGGACACTGTACATACAAATTCTAAAGTAAACCCCCTCTGCCCAGTTATTTTCATACTACTTCCCTAGAACTTACTTCTTGGAATTATTTTTAATATCCTCTTATTTTGAATTGCAACTCAAGAATTTTGAAAAAGCTAATAATCAGACTGTGGGTTGGGTTTGCTTTAAGTTGATGAAAGGGCAGACTGCTGCCAGGAAGGATGATGATGCATGGCTCTTCCTTTCGCTTACATTGGCACAATTGTGTGTGCAGCTGCGTAGTAAGAAGGTGCTGAAAGTTGCTCTGGGTTTTCCTAAGCTTTACTTTGTCTTGTTTTCCCTTGTATCAAAACACACAGTTTATGTGGGAGGGTTGGCAATAAAAGAGAGTTGTCTTCTTGGCAGCAGCGTGTACCCTAGATTTATTTACAATAGCTGCCAAACTAAAGCTTTAGATTATCATTGGTCAGTGACCTACTCAAAACATACTGATGTTTCTTTTTCTCTGGCCATTCTGGATGATTCTTACCCTAGGTGGTACTTAGCTTCTGTTTGGCTAGTTGTTTGTTTCTTCATGACTTAATGCAGCTGTAGCTAATGTAAGGCCTGAGTAAGTGTTTGGCCGTTTTGGTGCAAAATCTGCATTTGGTGTATTGTTCAGTATGGTTGGATTTTGAGGAATTCCTGTGTTGGACTTCATGTTCAGGAAGGGATGTTTGATAGCTGGTGAAACTCCTACAGTTATAATCATATAGCATTCATAGCCTTGGCTTTGCATTTGGAGTCTTTTGACATTGAATTGCAACTGAGTAAGACAGCCCCTTCCTTCATGTAAATAAACAGAAACATATATTTTCCACAAATACTAACATATACACTCTTGCCTCTCTGGGTTTTTTGGAAAAAGAATTTCTTCTGTACTAGCAACAGATGTCTGTTTGGAACTGATAGAAGAAGGAAGTAAGCAAAATGCAGTGCTAAGGGATTTGCTGAAATGTTTTGTCAGTAATTCTTTCTTTCCTGAAAAGGATGTTTTTGTCACTGTAGTTCTGCCAATAATTTTAATATTACAGCTTAGGAGTGTGAGTTGGCAAGAAACACTTTTCTGAATCTGAATGTATTGGACTTTCTCCAGCTGTGGTGATGTAAGTCAAGTATGTCAGATACTGCAGCCATAAGGAGTAATGGCTCACAGTTTCTATTGTCCTTGATTTATTATAATTTAAATAAGGTTCACAGATAAGGTTCTTGTGAACTTTGTAAATTTGATCTAATGAAAATTAATTATGTGCCTATTTTGAAAATTTGAGTAGACTGGCTGGCTTGGTTTGGAAACAGCTGTGGTGTAAAGGATGTTGTAATGGTTTAACCCCAGCTGGCAGCTAAATCTTAGAAAAGTGAGGAAACTGGTGGGTTGAGTTAAAGACAGTTTAACAGGGAAAGCAAAAGGACTTTATTCACTGCTTCCCATGGGCAGGCAGATGTTCATCCATCTCCAGGAGAGCAGGGCCCCATTATGTGTGACTTGAGAAGACAACAGTCTGAATGCCCCCCTATTCCTTCTTATTTCCCCCACCTGATAGACTGAGCATGATGTCATATGGTCTGGAATATCCCTTTGGTCACTTGGGGTCAGCTGTCCTAGCTGTGTCCCCCCCCATCTCCTGTGCACCGCCAGCCACTTCTCCAGTGTGCCAGTATAAGCAGGAAAGGCAGAGTAAGAGCTGCTTGGCAATGATGATGCCATCTCTATGTTATCAACATAATTTTCAGCACAAATCCAAAATATATCCCCATATTAGCCACTGAGAAGAAAATTAATTCTACCCCAGCCAAAACGAGCACAGATGTTCTGGTAACTTTTTTTTTTTTTAGAGTGCTACATAATGGTCTGTAAATTACAAATATACTTTGTGCTTCTGTAATACGATGGCCAAAAGATTATTGTCACACTTTAGTTACACTTTAATGCAGTCATAAAGGTACTTCAGATTGAATTCTATTTGAAGACTGAAGACTTCGGACTGAAGTATTCCTTTCAATGCATTAGATCATTGCAGTCAAGAATCAGCTTTTCAGTAGCAGAGACCTTAAATTTATGAATCCTGTACCCCACAAAGATGGACCACCAAGTCCTCATGTATCTTGCTTATATAGAACTTCTTCATGTCACCGAATTACAACCTTCTGAAAAATAGCTTGTGATTGTCCTCTGCCAGTATAGACATAAAGAAACAAAAAAGCTGTTGAAGCTGTAACTGATATTGCTGCCTTCTAGATAAGACTGAGAAGGATTTAGTAGGCATAACCGGGAATCTGCTTTCAAGCCTTTAAATCAGTTAATTGCTTAATCTGGATTATAAGAATGTGAAAGGGGCATAGAATTATAATTTTAGCTTTTGGGGCTGAGGGATGAATGTCCTGCTTATCTATCACAAGTCATTGGAGTGCTTTTAACTGAAGGAGTATTTTCAAATCCTTAAGGACTTCTGTGTACTGTTTATGAAAGGCATGGAAATCACAGATACTTACATGCTTCTGTGTGTCTGAATTTTTTATATGTTTCTTTTTTGATCCAAAAATTTTTTTAGAAGTCAGCAGTTTCTTCCATGTTCATAACTGGGCATTCAGACTGCTTTGTTCCTGCATTTTATCTGAACCTGATAGGAATTACTCGTAACACTGTCAACAGCCTGGCATTTTTTTCTTACACAGAGATTTCAGATTTGGGAACAAATGTAGTACAAATATTTCATAGTGAATAGCTAGTAGTTTAAAGTGATGTAAGCATACGTGAATGAACATATGAATACTGAGTTACTGAGTTGTTTTAGTGGGGGTTTTTTCCTGCAAAATAAATTCTCGTTTATCAATTACATTTGCTTTATTCACAACAGTATCAGTTCTCTAAATTCATTCAGATACCTGAAAACCAGTCTGTGTATTTTTATGGTAGAGCCAGAATGCTTTAAATAAGATTAAAAACTGTGTTTGGAAAGGCGGCCAGAGCTTGGCTTAGAGTTAAGATGAGTTATTGTTCTGATAATCACTTCTGTAGCTCCAGCTGGAATGGCTAAGTCACCTGGCTAAGCATGTAAATCAGTCTGCTGTCTTTCTAAAGGGGCCTCCTCCTTGAACAAAGCTGTCAAATGGTTGCTATGAGGGAGGAGATCCCGAGTGCTATGAATTGTTTAATATTTGCTGATGAATACAGTATTCACAGTATTCAGTAACACACGAATACTTAGACTTAGGGGATCTCATTCTAGAGACAGAGCAATGGCCCTGCTATATAAAATATTTTAAACTTTGCAACTGTGAATTTCATTGCTGAGAGTGCTCTGCAGTGAATAATTTTTGTGGCCAGATTAGACCTTTAGGAAGAAACATGAAAGGGTATTAAGTGCTTTTTTTGTATCTCAGATTGGCTCTCTATTTCCATGACACTATATTCCTACATTAAAATAAACTTTTAATACAAAAGTTATTACACATATTTTTCCATAAGTTTAAAACCTGTCTATTCTTCTTTACTTGTATCATTGCTATTTAAAAAACATTGTTCTGTCACAGGCTTAAAAGAAGGAAGACAAATGTGGTGATATTTTTCTTTATTTTTACAGGGTAACTTACAGCTTCTGCAGAGCTGCCTGGCAGTGTTAAATGGTGACACATAAGCTACGTTCCGTCCTCCCACTAACAAGGGCTGCCCTCCTCTGGATTTTGTTTTCATGACTTTAAATAGGCATTTACAATTCCCTGGAGAAAACATTTGACAAAGTGCACATAAGCAAGCTTCTTCTTTCAAAAGAATTAAACATGTGAAAGTAGCTCCAGACTATATGAACAGCATACTTGTTATACATACATATTCATGTTTATTTAATCATTATATGCTTTCATTGTTCAGAAACCAAATGCTCGGGTTTTGTGAAAATAGCCAATATAGTAATGTTCACGTTATGAATACTATGATACGACTGCAATCTTATTTACCTTTGTAAGTAATTTCTGAAGATCACCATTTGAAGCACATTGTTCAAATGGTCTAAATATTACCATTAGATATTTGAATATTGTTACTATAATGGCATTGTATACACTGTCTTAGTTTTTTTTCCATGTACTTATATCAAAAAACTTATCTTTTTTTCAATTGTGAACATTTCCTAGAAATTTTGGAGAACTTTGTGTAACCTTTATAACTATGATTTAAAAAGAAAAGCAGATGCATTAGTATGTTTGCCTTAACTTGTAGACTAATCCAATTATTGTAAAATAAATCATGAAATCAGTGATTTTTCTAAAATGATGCAGACACTGTATCATCTATAAGCTTAGTATTTTCTAGTAAATTAGATTAATTTGGTTTTTTTTTTTCTCTATTCATTGTGTAAACACCATTGACTAAATATTGGATTGGTCTGACACTATTCGCCCAGTACTTTTCACTTGCATTCTCAGGTTTTATCTGTTTGTCTGTGACTTTCCTATCCAGTGTACTTAAATTGTTTTGAGCTTGGTGGCTGACTCTGCAATTTGTTTGGCAGAAGTACATTTGAGAGAGCTTCCTGGGTTTCTTTTGAGAAAGGGGAAATAAAGCCCCAGAAGAGAGTTCAGAAGGTGCATAAAGTATCAGTGAAAAGTAATACTGCCCCACTGTCATACAGATAAAATATTTTGCTTGAGGAAAAAAGTGAAGGTATCCCCTATAAAGGAGTGTGTTAAGAGGATCTCATTCTGCTAACTGGACTTAAGACTTAGAGCTATGAATCCAGTATTGTTAGTTGTATTGATTGGTCTCCCTTCCTTGAACTATGACCCTTTTCCAAGAGGTGCTGCTATGTTGTGTAATTTCACGATGTCATAAAACGAGGCTTTACTTGATGAACGTCTCTTCACAGTGGGATTGCTGCTTTATAAGCAATATGTGCTGTTTGCAGGCCTTCAGTGGAGCAGCGAAGTTTGGGGGAATGCTATGGTTAGAAATGCAGATCAGTGTAAGTCAACGTCTGATTACAGATGCCCCGTACTGCCGCACAGACGTGTGTGGTTTGTTTTCCTCAGATAGGGTGAATTGCACAGTGTCGTATACTTACCCTGCTGCCTTGCACATCAAAACATTGCACAGGCAGAGAAGTTTGCATTGTGCTTTGATTCATGTACCCATCACCTCAGACTTCAATGCCCAGTGCCCAGTGGGTCTCGGCAACTTACCTGGTACAGAGAGTATTCCCAGCAATGCCTACTACACTAATACTGTGCTGTTCATCTTCTAGATATAACAGGTATAATTCCTAAGGAACTCATCTATAAATAGACTGCAAGGGACAACGATGACAATGTATATATAGTTAACAATACTGTAAATATTTTAAGTAGGATGTGGGAACAGTTTTTAGATTAGTCCTTGCTGTTGAGTGTTACTAGCTCATTAAATTTTTTCCAAGCCTCTTGGTATTGGGTGTGTCTCTTAAAGCTCTAACTCTGTCTCGGTGACTCTGGAAAAAAGTATTAAAACGTGACCCAAGGACCTGCAACTCCGTGGACAGAAGGGAAAAGACGCGCCTGCCCGCTCGTCGCTGCGGGGCGGCCCGAAAGCCGCCGGGGCCCCGCTCTGGCCCGTTTCCCGGCGGAGCGGGGAGGGCGGGGCGCGGCCGCCGGAAGCCGCGGGGCGCCCGGAAGGGGCCGGGCCGGGCCTGGCTGCGGCAGCGGGCGAGCACGGCGGCGGCGCCATGAGCAGCCTGCGGGAGGAGGATGATCCGTACGTGGTGGAGGAGCCCAGCGACGAGGAGCGAGCGCTCAGCAGGTGCCTGGAGCTGCCGGCCGGGGGGGAGGGCTCGGGCCGGCGGCGGCGTGCCCCGGTCCCCGCCTGGCGTGTGCCGGCCCGGGCGCGCAACGACGCCGGCGGTGCCGAGCCGTGGGTCTCGCACGGCGCTGGGCATCGACCCCGGGCTGCCCGCGGAGTGCAGGAGGATCGGCCTCGCATGAGCCGCGGCGATTTCCTTGAAACCGGCGTATTTCTGACCGCACAGCTCCCTGCGCGGAGCGAGAGCTGCCGGGGGCATGGTGGCAGGCCGCACGCAGCCGGCTGAAGCTCCTTTGCGTTTGAACCAGAGTTTCAATACCGCATAGCTAATAAAGTGTTCTAATATGTACATTGCCCATAAACGTAGGAGTAAATGCTCTCCCGTGCACTCACACAGTTCAGATGTTCATTCTCCAAAGTGATATGTCCATGCTGTAGCCTATATGTAATAATTAGATGTGTACCACCTCAATGCTTGTAGCTCAGAGGATGAGGTGGACGTGCTCCTACATGGCACTCCTGACCAGAAGCGGAAGCTGATACGGGAGTGCCTGACTGGCGAGAGCGAGTCTTCCAGTGATGATGAGTTCCAAAAGGAGATGGAAGCAGAACTAAACACCACCATGAAGACAATGGAAGGCAAATGGAAATCACCCGAAATGGGTAAATCAAGCTTAACATGTGCTTGCATATGAAATAATGAATTATGTGTTAGTGGCCAAATCATCTTTAGGTAGTGGTTGTACTGTTAAGAATATGTAGCAGTGTTTACATTACACATTCATACAGCACAGAATAGGAATTATGATGCAGAGGGGCTGTGACTGCTTGGCAGTTCATGTAGGCATTTTTGAACTTCTGTGGCCCTGAAATTTTGGGGGACTTTTTTAGTGAATTTTACTGTAATCAAAGTTTGTGAAACAGTGTTCCACACCTGTATGTCCTTCACGTGACTAAAGATGTTATGTGTGTATTCTGTAGGGCACAGACAGGCGTGTTTGATGTGGTATCCTCTGTGTCTAAAGGGAGTGTTAGGATAAACTGTCCTTCAAATGGTACCTGAGGTTCATCCTTGAGGGAGAAGGGCGGAGCTTTGCTCTGAGAATGCCTGTAAATGAAGTAACACAAGTGATGTGAATGATAAGAGTATGGGAATAAACTGGGAGAGCTGTTATTTAACACACCCAGGTAGAACAGAGCACTCTGAACAGAGTAACTTGAAAGTAAAGGTTTGTTCTGGGCTTTATACTTGATGTCCTTTTAGTGGGGTGTTCTTAACACTTCTAATTTCACCTGTAGGTACTTCCTCAAGCTCTGGGCTGACTGGATCTGCCAGCACTTCAAAATACTATGATGATGTTTACTTTGATTCTGATTCAGAGGATGAAGATAAAATAGGTAAATGACAGAGGCAAGAGGAGGGCATCTTTATAGTACCACTCACTCTCTTGGATCCTGTAGAATCCTCTTGGGGGGGTCAAGAGGCTGTTTTTGAAGGCAGCATTTTTGAGGGGAATTATCAGCCTGTATCATCTCAGCATAGCTCTTGCAACTTTATGATGTATTCCAATGTAATGCTCTGGCGTCATGCACTTGGAGGAGAGATGAGCCAGGCATTTAAGTGTCAGGTTTGATTTATTGCAAGGATGGAAAATGAAAATTGGAAATTGTATATGGTATATTTTGATAATTTGTGTCTGATGGATGTTATGTGTTCATGCACAATTTTTTTCTAGATACACAGGATGTCCGGAAAAACAGAAAACATCAGCAACGTCGGATTCTCTCCAATGATGAGCTGCTGTATGACCCAGAAGAAGACAGCAGAGACCAAGAGTGGGTAGACTCACAGAGGAGAGGGTAAGCAACCATAAATATTTGAATTGTAAGATGCTTAACATCAACTGAAAATTTTAAATGAAAATGGTAAATGTAGAGAAAAAGCCAATGCTGTCAGATCCATTATGTGAAACTTTTTTATATATAAACTTAAAGCATGAGAAACTCAAATGCCTGTAAAATGTTTTGGGTGTGTGTAATGGAAGCTAAGTCTTCAAAACTACACAAAATTTCAGAATTTTAAAAATCAAGATTTCCAAATTCTCTAAGCTAGTTTTGTCTGTGGATCTCATCTAAACAATCATGCTATGAATTAAAATGTTGCAAGATAATTTGATTGCTGATTAATATTTATTCCTGATAAATACTGAATTTCTGTTTTTGGAAAACTTTGAACTTAGCAAGCCACAAAATGTGCAGAGAAACAAGAACAATACAAAGGTACTTTAATGAGGGTTTTTGAAGGTTGAAGTAGAAAAATGGTTGTTGCAGCAACAACAGGTTGTTGCAGTAAAATTTCCCACTTCAATCTGTTGAGTAAGATAATGAATGTTGCCTGTGGAGATCTACGAGAGATACCTGCTTTATCAGAGGACAGGGCTGTTAGGCACAAATTCTCATGCCAGATGTATTTGTGTCACCAAATGAAAATACTCTGTAAATCAAAAGATACTGGTATATGTTTTCCCCTCACCTTCTCATTCGTATTCTTTGAGTTAATGCAAAAGGTATCCAGAATGAGCCAAGTATTAATTGGTGTATTTTAATGCAAAGAAGGGTTTGACAGTGAATTGATACGAGCAACAGCAAGGGCATGTCATTTCACTTTTTGTCTCTGCTTCCTCCTCTCTCAAATTGGCAGGTACCGTAACCAGAGAAGAGCACCACAGCAGCGGCAGGCAAAACCTGCAGCTGTTCCAAATAGTGATGCTGTTCTGAACTGCCCTGCCTGCATGACAACACTGTGCCTGGACTGCCAGAGGTAACAGCAGTGAACAATAAGGGGTCTTTTTGTAATTTCTTTTTTCTTGGTCAGTAGTATTGTTACTATATTTAGTTTGATCTATGGATTTTTATCAACTCTGTCTTGCAAGGTGGCCCTAATAACAAGAAGGCACGTAGGTGTGAGTTAGATTTAGGGTTAGATGCTGGTTTGTAAGAGTGATGATCAGTTTAATCTGCAGTGTGGAGATGGGGAAGAACAGGGTACAATGTTAGTATAGTGAAGTAGGTAAAATTTTAAAAAAATAATAATTGTGGAGACTCAACAGGCATTTCAGGCAGACTGGAGATTTTAGAGATACATATCTCTGTATATCTCTATCTCTATTTTGGTTTGATGTTTAGAGGCATAAAGCTATTCTAGGTTATTTTTGTCTAAAAATGTCTTGTTAAAGGAGGATTAAGCAAAACAAAGATCGTGTATTCTTGCTTGGTTTGAGTCTCAGCAGTTAGGGTTTTGAGTGCAGTTACATTTAAAAGTGCCAGGAAGGTATTTAGGTGACAGTCCACAGTGTGTTTTGCTACTCTTCAGTATCTGACTGCATTGCAGGCCTAGTGCTGTTAACCCGTGCTAAGGAAAGGACTCTAGAACTGGGAGTAAAGTAGAAAGAAATCTTCGGAAACGAGGAATAAAGTACCTGTCATTTATTGAGTATTTTTGGTGATAAAGGATGAAATTCCACAGCAGCCTGAAATCATCTAAGTACTGGGTGCTGTTTTTCTGTTTTTGCTTTGCTGGCTCTGGTACTCCTTGACCTTCTCCTGTAGTTAACTATTTCAGTTTGCTAAGGTAACAGAAAACTATATTTTTATTGTCAGACTGGTCTTTCTTGGGTTTAATCTACTGCAGTAGCTCAGCACAGTGTCATACAAGCAGGAAGCCAGCAGAATTTGAGATTGGACTTCTGTAGCCACTGTTGTATTCATTCAGGCTGCTGTAAAATTGCAGCCTGAGGGACATTGTGTTAAGCTGAACTACAGTACTAAATTTTGCTACACACTCCAGATATATAGTTGTTAAGACTGATGACAGCTGAAATTTTATGTTTTATTGTAGACATGCTGCTTCTAGCTTGATAATGTCAATATTATTTATAAATAAGGAATTTCAGACTTGCATGACATTGTAGGATGTCAGTGTCAGTAGATGAGTCATTTACACTCACAGTTTCCTGATCTTTTACTATTATGAGGTACATGTAGCAATGCATAATTCTGCAGTACCAATACCATTGTATTCCAGGGCATTTCTTTCAGCAACAGACAGTATTTTTTAAAAATGCCTTAAAAAACAACAGATGGCTGCAATTCTATGTTTTTATTATTTTTGTAGCTGTGACTTCTGTTTATAAAATTCCTACTTACTTGGCTTTCAGCCCTTTGGCATGTTACTTCCTATCTTTAATCCCATATTCAGTGATGGTAACAGATTTCTTGGAAGCAGAGTTGTATGAATGGTATGACTTGCATTTTCTCCCCTTCTCCACAGACATGAATCTTACAAAACACAGTACAGAGCAATGTTTGTGATGAACTGTGTTGTTAACAAAGAGGAAATACTGAAATACAGAAAGAAGGTAAAGAGAAGAAGTAAGAAAATGAAGCAGAGCAAAGAAATTGGCTCTATACAGTCAAATGAAGAAGAAGAGGAAATATATCATCCAGTATTATGTACTGAATGCTCAACTGAGGTAGCAGTAATGGATAAAGATGAAGTTTTTCACTTCTTCAACGTTCTGGCCAGCCACTCCTAATGTGGAAATGCAGAGGGAAAAATCCTGTGTGCTTTTAAGAGCGTGGGAAGTGTTAGAAATGCAGGCACACTCGCCTTTTTGAAAATGTAGTTTTATAAATGCGCATTTTCATCTGAGAACTTTATAATGGTTGGACTTTTTGCAAAGTTTATAAAAGGCATACTGTTAACTGCATGTATATGATAGCTATATTTGTTCTCACCATCAGGCGGTTGTCATTAGGTTATCATTGGGGATTAAATATTTTGTAAATACCATGTAAAATCTGTATATTACGATCATTCCCTGTATATATACTATCCATTCATTATCTCAGTGTGATTAGAATGGCTTCTTGGAATAAACACTTTATAGTAACTGATTTTCCATAGCTGCACTGGTTATTTTATAGCAAGGGATAAACAACATTCAGTCCGAATGTTTGATGTTGTTAAGCTGTTCTTGGTAGATTTGCACACGTGGTCTGTGTTATGGTTTTATCCTGGCTGGCAACTAGGCCACACAACTGCTTGCTGACTCCCTCCACCTCCTCCCCCCGTGGGGAGGAAAGTTTGGACCTGCAAACCCACAGCAAGAGGAGCGCACACTAAAGTAGGTGTTCTAATAAAACTTGTGGCCCCGTGGCAAGCCCCTGTTGGAGCAGGCTGTGCCTGAAGGACTGCACTCTGGAAAAATGACCCACAAAGGAACAGTTTGGGAAGAAGTGTTGCCTATGGGATGGACTCACATTAGAGAAGTCAGTGGAGTACTGTCTCCTGTGGGAGGTACCTCACACTAGAGCAGGGGAAGGAGTTCTCCCGGACCAGTAGCAGGAACAATGGGTGATGAACTGACCATAACCCCCATTCCCTGTCTCCCTGCACTTCTGGTGGCTTTTGCCACATCTCTGAGGTTTGTTTTGGCATCCTGTGGCCCTTTGCACTGTGCCTCAGCTAATCCTGGTCCATTTTCTCGTGGTCTCGAAATTTACCAATTTTTTTTTTTCTTTTTTTCAGTATCCATGCCATGCCTCTGGTATCTTCCCCTCCAAGTTCTGTCTTCCTCCTTTATGTATTGTAATGCCTTTGCAGCTTCCTTCAGGAGAGATTTGGCATGTTTTGGTCCTTTGCACTGCACCTCATTTAGTCCCACACCCCTTCCTTGCAGTCACTAAATGTCCCAATTTTCTGGGTTTTTTCAGGCGCACTTCGTTTGATGGTATCTCCTTTCCAGAGCGTTTCTAAGCCTTTCTTTTCAGGGTCGCGAGATTTCGTTCCCCTTCCCGAAAGGAAATTTCATTTCCTTGCGGGAAGGGAAACGAAATCTTGCAATTTCAATGGGAATCAATTGGGCCATCTTTGGTCCATGTCTCTGCACTGCACGGGATCCCATGGCTTTTGATGGCTTTGAGTCCGGCGAAGATTTTTTCTTTTTTTTCCGTTTCCATGCCATGTCACTCATATCATGCCAGGAAGTAGAGCCCAAGAAGCAGTGCGAGTTAGGGGAAAGTAAGATTTATTGTACTATTCGTTATCCTGCTCTGATTTTGTTAGTAATAAATTCAGTTAATATCCCCAAGTTCAGTGTGATTTTCCCATGATGGTATTTGATGATTGAGCTCTCCCAATACTTTAGTCATGGACCTTTGTGTGTGTTTCCTGTCCATCTGCAGAGGGTGTCCAGCCAGGGTCAATCCACCGCAACAACACAAGTGCCCACCACCTGCTGAACGAGAGCCAGCTTGTCCTTGAACAGTGATCATCTGCCTTCCAGGTAACTCCCCCAGTTTATACACTGGGCATGATATTCTAGGGTATGGAATATCCATTTGGCCAATTTGGTCACTTGTCCTGGCCAGGCTCCCTCCCAGTTTTTTGTGGTGCTCCTCACTGGCAGACATGAGACACTGAAAAGTCTGTGAGTTATCCTAAGCACCACTTAGTGTTTTGCCAGTGAGCAGGGTCAGAGACACAGACACAGACACCAAATTGAGGAACAGTGTAATTTACTGTAATGCAAAACTGCAAAGAATCACAAAAGGATAGGTTAGGCAATGCACATAATCCTTAGCAAAGAATTACAAAAGGATAAGATAAGCAATGCAGCTATGAATGAATGCCTACAGTGATTAAGACAGATACATCACTAGTTACCCTATTACTTGACCATCATCCAAGTCCTCAGAACATCAACTGTGGGGTGAAGCTGTCACAGCAAGGACTGGAGAACCACGTCTGGTAACAGAGCTCCAGTGGTGTGTCCACCTTGCAGGCCTCCAGGCTCCCCTGACTTTGCTGTGAAAGTAGCCCAGACTTTATACTGTTAAACAAACAAGCTGACATAATTTCTAATTTAATTCTTCTGTTGGCTTTTCCCTAAAGCCTCACCAGGGCTCCAGGAGGAACCAAGGGAGTTGTCTTTCATCCTATACCCCCCTTAGTAAGGCATTCCCAGGTTTCTAGATGTGGAAAGGTTTGCAAATAAATGAATACATATAACAATGCTTTATTAATGAGCGAATATATACATAACTTTTGGCTGGAATGTTCATCTAGAGGTTAACTTTGGCTCAGGGGCTGTTGTTTGGGCCTTAGTAGTTAATGTAGCAACAACCAAAATATCATGGAACAACTTATTCTCAGACTAAATCCAAGTTACTGACAAGAATATGAACTCTGTCCCAGCCAAAACCAGGACACTCTGATAAAGAAGGAATTGTCGTGATATTTGGGTTTTTTCTTAATTAAGATCTCAAAAAATTGAGATGAGCTTATATTGATTTTGCTGGCATGGACTGTTCTACCACTGATCATGTAAAACAACATGCCTAGTAATGCCTAGTAATACAGCTAAATGTTGTACATTTAAATATGTATATTTACATATACATAGTAGAAGAAAGTACTGGACTTTATTGTTTTCCTTATGAAAACTTTTAAGAAGAAATTTAAAGTCAGATCTATTGCCATAGAACTAGTTTGCTTTTTCTGTTTCTTTAGTACATTTACAACTTCTTTATGGAAGCACAAAGAGCTTCTGTACTTGGTATTTATGTCTATGAAGCCACTGTATTGTTAATTCTGGATCCTTCTCTGTCTTCATTCAGGTGTGTGCCCAAGAGGCAAACTCTTGTTTTTTATTTGCAATATCTCTTATAGCCTGATATTTTTAAACTGTACTTTGAACAATGGTCTGTCTGAAAAAAAAAAAATCTCATCTTTGTGTTTTTTTCTCGTAATAGTACTAGGAATAACTAGTTATATGTACTTTAATGAACTGTGAGAAATATTTGAACTTAGGAGGTAGAAACATGAATAACATCTTCTGTGCCTTAGATTATAATAAAATCTTTTAACTCTTTGGTTACCTTTTATAGTCCCTGGTGTAGTATTTTACTGATCTACACACACTCTTTCTATGTTGTTACATGAGATTAGGAAGAAATAAACATGCTGGTTCTTCTGTCAGGATTACATAAGAAAAACACAGAATTACTATTTTCAAATCAGCAGAAACTTAACCTCTGCTTGATGAAGTAGAGAACTGCTGATACAGCTGCTGAACACATGGGTGGTCAGTATGATGTGCCTTCCTCTGCATATGCAACTTAGGAACAAAATGGAGCTCTCCTGGTTCTGAGGCTTGGGGTATGTGTGAGACAAGATTTCAATCTCATCTGCTACTACCTACATTCAGACTAAATAGTGAAATATCTAACTTGCAGTATCAGATGCTGTGGGATCATTTGAAGTGGGATAAATTCTTACTGTGTGCCATGAGCCAAGAGGTGTACACAGGAAATTTTGAATATATGAAGAACTGTTTCTTGGTACAAGTGTGGAGGAACACAAGTAATGGGGAATATGGTCTGTGCTCTGGAGCATGCTGGCCTTGATTTACTTCTCTTCACATTCCAGATGAAACAGAAAAGCTCTCTGTAGTGTCAGGTTAAGGATGTTTGCATTGACCTCCTGGAAACATGAGCACGTGAGAATGTAGTTCAAGGGCTCAAGTGTCGATGCAAGTGGTATCAGGAAAAACAATTACATGATGACAGTCCCCAAGCAGGGGTAGAATGGAGCTGGTGAAGGAGGCGAAACTGCACAGAGGAATAATGTCCATTTCCATAAGGGGCTAACTAGCAAAAAACCTCATGAGTATGCACCATACCAAAAAAGTGTAAGGCCACCTACCCGGTGGGTTAGGGCAGATGTACGAGATTGTGAAGCTGGCATGCCTCTAGGCATTACCTTTCCTCTCATCCCAGGTCCTTTATTGCTGCTGCATTTTACTTGCCTTACCACTTGAATTGCAGAGCGTTTTGTTAGGGATCACAGGAACAGAGAGGACTGGACCTGTTTGCTCCATCTTGATACCATTCCTGCAGCTTTGAACGGGAATAACGCTTTAGTTGTGCTGAATACCCCACTTGTCCTTGAACTTTGGACATGTTTATACAGAAAGGCACATTTCATGATTACCACTGTTTACTCAAGCAGCAACACCAACACAGGACTCCTCCAGCAGAGACTGCAACAAGCAACAGCAGATTTGGATAGTGGCAACAGCTCCCACAGGCAGTTATGCCAGGGTATTAATTCTCCTGGTGTTGAAATAAATCTGCATAGATAAGGTGTGTCTAAATGTCTTCAGGGTGGATCAAATCCCATTTCAAATTCCTCCCACACAAAACAGTACACTCTTCAGTTTTCTTTGCTGGCTGCTTTTCTTTTTCACAGTTATCTCGTGGTCATGTAGTTGTATTTTGCAGCTGTATAAATATCTCAAATGTGCATTCTCCTGTGGTTGTACTTCCGTATTTTTCATTGTATAAATAGCACAGGTGAAGGTAGGGGTGGGACGGCTACAAGGACAGAATCACATTGCTCAGTGACATAATTGCAAATTGATTTACTAAGCAGAGTAAGTATAGTGGGTCAATTCCAGTTTCTAATCTATGCTGTGCACACTTGGAATGTATGGTCTGGACTATTGGCCTGGAGCCAGGGCCTTGAAGTTTCAACACACACTCTGCTCATGTAAGGTGCCTGATGATTGTGCACATCCCCTTTCAGCCGGTTTTCGACCTGTGCCTTCTACAGTGCCAGCATAAACTGCCAAGGGTTTTCCTAATCACATAGTCCCAAACCAGCCTCTGGGAATCTCTGGTTTCTGGCTCCGAGTGCCTTAGGGTAGTGCAACGTTAGAACAGTCACAGTAAACAGTCGATTCATCACCTCTTTGTTTTTCCTATTCACATGGATTAATCTCGCCAAAGCTGGCCTATCTTAAGGTCGCATTTATCTGAACCACGTTTGTGGGTGAGCTTTACCCTCCGACAAACTGAACGAAGTTGAAGACTCGTGCAGATCATTTTTAACA